CATATAAAAAAACCCACACATATATATATATATATATATATATATATATACATATATTTTCTGGTGAGTGCGAAACCAGAAAATATAATTTCCAATTTCAAAGAATATTTTATCCCTCTTCAAGAAAGTATGCTAACTGTCTCAATTTCGTTTTTCAAAAGGAACATGAAGTCGAGAAAATGTTCACTCTCAAAGCTGGTCGTATACCGTCTGCTGCCGTCAAGAATATTGTCTTTTTTGTGCGACCAAGGTTGGAATTGATGGACATCATTGCAGAAAATGTTGCAAGGTAAGCCAAAAAAAGCATTCTTTTGGCCAGCACTAAAGTAGACAATAATATAACATAAACAAATATATAAATATATTATGAACTGTTCATAAAATGTGCTGGTTTTCAATTCTCAGACAACGGTTGCTCCCAAAATAACATTCATAACAGAGATTTTGATTGGAGAAAATAAAAAGGTAGCATGTGCGGTGATTGCTGGCAGTAGTCAGTGGCAGTGCTGTGCTGCTGATGATATTACGTTGTAATATTTGCATTGCAGCGAGGATAAACTACAACCCCGAGATGTCCACATTCTGTTTGTGCCTCGCCGGAGTCTGCTGTGTGAACAGCGGCTGAAGGAGAAAGGGGTTCTGAACTCTTTCACTAACATCGATGAATACATTCTGGACCTTATCCCTTACGATGGAGATCTTCTTTCCATGGAGTCTGAGAGTTCCTTTAGAGTAAGACCATGTTTGAATGGCAAGAATAGTATGGGTTTGCATTCATTTTCTGTAGGATTTCTGATTCAGCGTTAGTCAGACCTTGACTAGAAATAGCCACGGATACAAAAGACCCTCTGGTGCTTTATTAATGCATTATTATTAGTAGTAGTAGTAGTGTGTTTTCTGTTGAGTTTCATATTTGATACATTACGTTTTTATGGCTCATGTAGTATGACATAATTTCACAAATTTTATGCAAACTGAGCAAAAAGATGAAATTTGGTGCAGTTGCTGATATTTATATGGCCAAAAAGTAAGATGAAATTCTGATTGCTTGTAATGTAAATCAATGAGATCAGGTGTCATCTCCCAATAGTGTTTTTTTTTTGGGATGATATTTTAAATGCTTAGTTTTATGATCAAAGCTCTGTAGGTTCAGAACATATAAAGCAGTGCAATACAACGATGATTGAGAGATGAACAACTAAACCTTCCTCAAAAGCCTGATATTTGAACATTTTTAGGGCCCTATGAAATCTGTTTAATTTTTTTCCTAAATTCAGTTTTTTTTTTTCCCCAGTTTAAATTTTTGTTTTAATGTTTTAGTGGTTAAATTAAAAAATATGACTCAAAAAGCATGTCTAATTAATTGAAATAATGAAACTTACACAATTTAACAGCAATTTATTAAAAGTTAGAACAAAAAGTACATTTTTAAGGCCCTATGAAATACATTTTATTTATTTTTTTCTCAAATTGTGTTTTATTTTTTTTACCAAATTCTGTGTTTTCCAGTCATTTTCTGGATTCCATTTGAATGGTTTCATTAGATTTTAATAATCGCATCTCTACATTAACTGATTTTATTTTTTAAAAATGTATTACTATTTACTATTATTGATTTATTTTCAGAAATGCTATAGGATAAAGTAATTATTCCTTAAAAAATAATGTTTTAATTATTATTACCATTAGAACTATCGTTACATTAAGTAATATAGCCAGCCGTTTGTTGTAGTTTTTGAAGTGTTTTCTGTTAAAAAGAACATCTCCTTTTAGAGTGGACTTTGAGGTTTGTAACCTTGCAGATCTTTTTTTTTTATGCTCAAAAAGTGATAAAGCATAATAGGACCCCTTTAAATGAATGTTGGTTGTACTGTGTAAATAAATATATACCCCAAAAAAAAGACCAAGTTAAGCTGCAAAAGTGTCTCATTCAATAACATCGAACATTTGTAAAACGTTGTCCTGTTTTTGGCTCTGGGAAAGCAGCTTTTGATTAATCATTAGAAACAACTGGTTATGACCCTGTTTTATATGCAATAAAAAGCTGACATATTATGCATGAGCAGATGCTTTGGGATGTTCACATAACCTTGTTTTCTTTCATGAAGGAATGCTATTTAGAGAATGATCAGACGAGCCTGTATCACGCTGCCAAGGGCCTCATGAATTTGCAAGCACTTTATGGAACAATACCGCAAATCTTTGGCAAAGGCGAGTGTGCAAGAGTGAGTAGAAAAGTGTTTGTGTCAACTCTTTTCATTTATTTCTCTCATTGATTTTTAATTTTAATTGTGTGCATGGTGGCTGTGTCTTTCTCAGCATGTGGCCAACATGATGTTGCGGATGAAGAGAGAGTTTGCAGGGAGTCAAACTCAAATCCTGCCCGTGTTCGATACCCTCCTCCTGTTGGATCGCAACGTGGATTTGCTTACGCCATTAGCCACTCAACTTACCTATGAGGGTCTTATCGATGAGATCTTTGGCATCACTAATGGTAAATGAGTTTCAAATTCGTGCAGACATGAAATAC